GGAAACGGATCCGTCTGCAGATATTGGGATTCCTTCTAGTGGATGCTTAGTTTATTTTGTCATTCTGATCGGATTTTCTCTACTGTTCCGTTATAATTTTAATTTTAAATTGTTTTGCATTATATGGCTGTTTGCTGTTTAATGGGGTTTTCCCCATTTGCCTTTTAACTTCACCTTATTCTCACTTTCTAAAAAATATTTGTGTTGTAGTAAGGTATTCATTGTTGGCGCCTATGGGGAGGAGGCATTCCCCTCAACGCCACACATCACTTTTCCACCCCGTCCCTTTTCCCACCCTATCGGGAAGGAAACACTGGAAATAAGTCTTCTTCTAGACTTTCGTGGGCTATCCTTGGTGTTTACACCGAATAAATTAAATCAATCAATCAATCACATGAATTTCCTACAGATTGCTAGACTCAAATGATTAGTTTGGTTTATTCAATTATAAGTTTTTAAAATCCATCGTCATACCGCCCCCTCTGAGCACCGCAACCACGCCCACTTACTCTCACCGGGAACATTGGCCCTCTTGTCGGAGACATCGCACCCCCTCCCCCTCCTGGCGCCACCAATGTTGTTAGCTTATGGTAAATTTCATAGAATACCAGCCTGTAAGTGGCTGTTTTGAGAAATGAATAAATCAAATAATAACAATAATAGGCTTAACTACATGTTGTCAGGTTACCGGTAACTCACGCTTATGGGAAGAATACTAATTTGGTTTTGAGTCGTTGGATTTAGCCTGTGGGTGAATTATGTTTCATCTTCAAGTCTTGTCATAATGATGACAAGAATTTACGATGACGAAATGGTACTCGTCTTTCAATCCCAGGGTATTGGGTCGAAGTCCTTTAAGATCTCAAGATTTATTTGCATCATTAAACTGAACTATTCCATTAAGAATACGGTAGTGTTTTGACATTATGTACTCTGCACCCCATACATCACACACATCGCAATACCACTAAAAATCCACCTAGATCGGTTGATTAAAATCATGTGACATTGGGTATTTACAACATTACTGTAATATTAACCTACGTAATTTTTTGGCATGCATCATTCTTTGTATAATTCAGTTCCATTTCTGCTCGTTAAATCTTTTTATGATATGGAAACAATTGGGTCTTAAATATTATAAAATACTTCATATCGTGCTTGTAAGAGAAAGTGTTTATTTCTTTAAAAGTCTGTAAAATCTGCTTATGTGAGTAATTGGTAATGATAATACCAATTACCACTTTTGAAAAACCCCGTCTGGTGTTGGCTAAAATTTTTACTATTTTGTTTTTCATTTGTTGTTTTGAATCCAAGATGAAATAAATGACATGATATAATCATATATAATAATAACAATAATAATACACAGGAGCCACATTAAATGATACCATAAACACATCAATGAAATATAACAAAATAACCTTTATATATATATATAAATAGTATCTATCCAAAATTACAAAATATATAACTCTCATAATACTGTTGTAATCACAAAAAAATAATTAAAACAAAGTTTAAAAAGACATTATTGAGAAAGATAGCTGTGATTTAAGCACTCATCCAAGTGGCGATTGATGGCGCTCTCCAACACACTGCAGCCACATATCGGACATTTCACAGTTCCTGCAGGATCCTCTGTACGACAGGTCTCTGCATTAACATGCATGTCTGACAATGTTTGATTCAACTCTCCATCAATTTTTTGAGTATGATTAGAAGCTTTGGCACCACTTAAATTTCCTGCTTTCTCTGATCTGTTCTTTGGCAATTCATCAGCACTAGTCCCAATGTTTATATTCATTAGATGTTGTGATATATCCCTATTGCTTTCTTCTTTCTTATTTACTATTACAGGTATTTCACTATTTCTGAATGTTTTTTCATCCCCGTCTGAGTCGCTATCGCTGCCAACTATCTCAATCAGTTTTAAGATCTTTTGTGATTTTTTCCGATGTTTATTAATCTTATTGTTCACATGCTTATATTTATCTGCCAAACATGTATTCTTAGATTCTTTTGACAGCCATGCCATTCCACCATTTTGTATATCTTCCTTGGTTCTCCCTCCTAGCACACGTCCTTTGCCTGGAAACCTAGCCTCCATATCACTGGATCCATTTCTGGTATCAGAGTTACTCTGTATCAGATCATTAGGCATGTTCTCGTCACTCTTATCATCACTGTCGGAATCATATTTCCCATTACTTGCAGATGGTACGGATTTCTTTCCAAAGAATCCATGGATGTTGCTCCTTGTTCCTGATGTATCAGTCTTTTTTGGATCCTTGTGTTCGCTACTAGGCTTTATGTTGCCATTAGTTACTGCGCTTATCGATCCCACTGGTATTGAGGGGGACTTGTTACTATTATTTGGTACAGCGAGTTGCTTTTTGGACCATATTTGCTCAAGTGTTGGGTAGTTCGGTGGACTATTTATAGCATTTAATACACGTCCTTTGCCTTCAAATGCTGGTACAGAATTGAAGTCTCTACCTTTAGCTTTCTTTGAACCTGTAATATATTAAAAGAATATTAATTACAATAAAACAAAAATAATGATAATTACTATAATAATGATAGCCAACCATATATGACAACAATTATGATGATCTCTAATTTTGTAAAGTAATAAAGTAAAGTTATATATAATTTTTTATTACATGATATAAGAAACACTTTGAAATATGTGAGATACATGTAGACAGGTCTGTATTAAGATATACACTGATGTGCCCATTTAATAGTATCAATAACCTATTACACCTGAGGGATAATTTAAAGCAATTAAGTTTTTAGCACATTTATAGCAATTTCTATTCTTTAAAAGTTTTTTAAACAATATTTTATAGAAGCTAAACCTTTCAGCTTATCACAGAAAGTCAGCTGATATTCATTGGCCCTCTTAAAGAAATTAAATGATATGAGGATATCTATAAACTAGACTTACAACTAATTTTAGTCATTAAGAAAAAAATCAGTGTCGCAGGATTGGAACTATGGGCACTGAAATTGGCTACAGCTCCACAATAACCACAAGCATCAAAATATCTCAAGCGCTTCATATTTGAACCCTGACCTTATGATTGAGTGCTCACATTGCAGCTGCTGCACCAACTTATATGGGGCTTGCCATGCCAAAACCAGCATCAGCGACAAAAACATAAAAACTGAATTTTTAATATATTCCTATTCTCCACATTATAAGCTTTAAAATGATGGGTCATTTGCTGGAATCGATTTACCATTGCGACACTTATGAGTAAAAGTATTACAGCTTCTCTGTGCTAAGTTTACAATACTTTCTTGAGCTTATTACTCAGTTTAACAATTAGCAACAGTTTTGGGGTGGCAAGCCTCATATATTGTTTTCAACAATTGTAAATTTACAAAGGCACAAAAATTAATGAATTATATAATTTCAAAAACTCAATCATACCTTTAGTATTTTCTTCTTCCCTTTTTCTTTTTCCCTTCTTTTCACCATATCCTTCCGGTTCTTTTTCCTTATGGTATGTCCCACCACATGACTGCTGATGACTGGACCACCAGGGATCTCGTGGTGATGGTGCACGGTTCATGGCTCGCTTGACATAACCAAAAAATGGCTTTCGTGTACGGCACGGTCCATCACATCGCCAAATATGCTGCCTGTACAAGTCCACTTCATCTTGGAAATTGTGATAAATCTTTGAAGATAAATGTAAGTAGAGGATGTTAGACAGCAGAAAAACAGAATATGAAAAAAAAGAAGATAAATAGATGAGTAACCTAAAAGGTGCCTTATACATTCCAAATGCTTTGCTTTTTATCTTCATTGGTTTACTTTGTTAAAAGTCTCCTTCAAAAGCATGCTCTTCTCCACAGAATGAAAACTGCTCTATGGTGATTAGGAATGCAACTGTGTGTGGTCCCTAGTTAGAAGTCATTACCAAGAGATCTGTTTAAATTAAAACAAGCTTTCTTAGCCCTTCACCATCCTGGTTTCCGGGAGATATCCAATTCCAGGGTCCTGGGTTTAAATCAGGGGTGGGCATAAAAATCGGTTGGAGGGCCAAAGTGAATTTCTGATTTACTGTAACATAGAAGGCCAGACCCAAATTTTTATGTTTCCAGTACGCTTCCAAAAACCTCCTAGCACTGCTTTTACACCACTTTATTCCCAGGTTTAATATTACTTTTTACATATGATCAGCGTCAGGCCGTAAAAAAACTAGCTATTTTCTAGCCAATGTTACTTTGCAAGCCCGCCCACATAGGGTTTTTAATTCATATCTACAGGCCGTCAAAAAATCACTGTCGGGCGCATTTGTGGTTTAAATGGTAAGGATTTATTTTCATGACTCAAATTCAGATCAATCACATTGCGTGTAAAGATACTTACTGTTATATGCTAACGGACAAAGCACTTTTGCATATGAAAGACATTAGAGGTATAGGCTGGTGGTTAAAATGGATGCCTCCCTATCCCTGGTCCATGCATTCAAGCCCTGTGACATAAGAATTTTTTCTCACTACTAAAAAACATCTCCACTCTCTAAACCTTAAGCTTTTATAAACCATCATATTATTTTATGTACAGCATTTATTAAGAGTGAATATCTGCTGACTTGAGATAAACTGGAACGGTAACCCTCTATAAATTTGGTTATAAAATAAAAAAACAGAACAGCTTCTAACTTACAGATATCTTTGTACCAGTCTGTTTGTTAATCCTGTTCATATGCTTACAGAATTCAGGTCCATGACCATCACGATCCTGCAAAGAGGAAGAAATAAATGACGACATATTAATTGACAATAAACAATTCCGCTAAGCCCTACTCTTTGCATACTGTTGCAAGGCCCACAGTACAATGGTGTAAATGTTCACACACATGTATTTGTTGGACAACACACGTCTATGGGCCAAGCTTGTATTCTTGGCTGTGTTCCGATTGGTCAGTTTGATTGACACTCCAGAAATGTCCATGTTTAGCCAAGTGTTACATGGTGTATGGTTCCTACCAACCAGCTGATGCAATACATTTTTTATACTTTGTTTTAAAAACCCACCACCTGCCAATGATTATTTTGAATAAAAATAACATTATATTTTGGTTTGTTAGTGCACCCACCACAAAAAAATTTTTTTTTAAATTTTCATTTAATTTCATTTATTTTGTCTCAATTGTTTCAAACTTGAGAAGACAGGATAACCAAAAGTATACTAAAATACTGTCAAGCGGCTCTCCAAACCACTTTTTCACTTCTTGAAGATCATTCAAAAAGAAAATTTAAAACAAGGTATAACAAAAATCTCACCTGAAGAAATATACTAGTTCCTTAATACCGAAGCGGTTAAAATTGAAGCATTGTTTGAGAAATTCAAACCATTTTTAGCTCCGATGATGAGCTCTAGAAACACTCGGCTGATTGATTAATAGATCTTTTTTAGATCTCCTGCCTCTATTATACTGCCCTCTTGAGGATGATTGATTGATTAATAGTTGATTAATAGATCTTTTAGCTCTACTGCCTTTATTATACTGCCCTCAAGAGGAGCTCTAGAAACACTCGGCTGATTGATTAATAGATCTTTTTTAGATCTCCTGCCTCTATTATACTGCCCTCTTGAGGATGATTGATTGATTAATAGTTGATTAATAGATCTTTTAGCTCTACTGCCTTTATTATACTGCCCTCAAGAGGAGCTCTGGAAACACACAGCTGATGATTAATAGTTGATTGATTAATAGATCCATTTTAGCTCTACTGCCTCTATTAGATTATAATTCATCTTGAAAGTTGTGCTTTATGTTAAATCATAGTGTAATAACTAAGTTATGTGATATAACTGTTCAAATGATCATTCTTATTTGCCACTAAGAACTAGTAAAATGTTTTTAAAGGCAGATTTACTTACTCTGTTGTTCTGAGTAACAAATAGATAGGCATGTATCATCTCATGCTGTATGAAGTAAAATGAAAGTATTAATAAATTAGCAAATACATTTTACCAATTGAAGAAATTCAATTGAAACAAACTACAGGTCTCTCTCTAATTAAAGACCCCGCCACTTACCAAGTGAAGAAATTCAATTGAAAGCAACTATCAGGTCTCTCACTAATTAAAGACCCCGCCACTTACCAAGTGAAGAAATTCAATTGAAAGCAACTATCAGGTCTCTCTCTAATTAAAGAGCCTTCTACTTAAAGACCACTTTTCTGTGGTCCCGATATTATTTAAATGTCTTTTAACTTTATAAATCTAATTAAAGGCCAAAGCTGCTGAAGACCATGGAAACCCTGGTCTAAAAAGTGGTCTTTAATTGTAGTTTCTGCTTTTTATTTTAATTGTGTTATAATATACCAAAAAATATGTTATTGTCTACCCACCAATATCAAGCAGAAAGCTCAATATGACTGGTCATGTATGTGCCATGATTTGTATAGAATTACACTAAGTTACTGAAGTGTAATTAAAGTAGTTTTTGACCACGAAATAAAAGGTATCTTACCAACAGTGTTTCAACAAGGTCTTTTCTAGGCCTGAGTTTCAACAATGGGGTGCTAAGTCGTATTGAACATAAGCCACCTCTGCCTTCATAGCTACATACTCCAGCACATCTGAAGCAAAGAATTCAATTCAACTATTATTTCAGAATTTTCCAACCATAATACAGTTTGAACCAAAGATCCTGAAGTGGAAGGTTATTTTAATCAAATACATGAAACTAATTAATGACATGTTTCGGCGTGTCATCTGGAAATAGGGCTTTGTGCCATTACCGGTTCATATACTATTGGTCAGATCATGGACCTTATTAATAGGTCCATGGTATGACAAGCAAGCAATTTCTACAGTATTACTGTAGTAAGTCATAAACTGGTAATAACAATTAAATAATAAGGTAATATTAAAGTAAGAGTTTATTTTTTTTTTTTTTTTGTTCAGTGACGGTTTTCCCCAAACAATGTAAAGTATTTTAACCAGCAAGTTACAGCTCAGCTCCAAGAGTAAATTGTCAATATAATAAATATATGGTAGAGTAAAAACATGAGAATTTGGATCTTATTTGAAATTATGAATATATTCTTGTATGTTGACTTTTAAGAAACAACTATGTACTGCAACAAATATTCAACTACTCCTGCAGTCTTTGTTTGTCAATGCCCCTACTTCTAGTTAGGTTAGAGGGCTAGGCCTAGGTTACAGTAGGTAGCAATAATAAATGTAAAGTATTTTAACCAGCAAGTTACAGCTCAGCTCCAAGAGTAAATTGTCAATATAATAAATATATGGTAGAGTAAAAACATGAGAATCTGGATCTTATTTAAAATTATGAATATATTCTTGTATGTTGACTTTTAAGAAACAACTATGTACTGCAACAAATATTCAACTACTCCTGCAGTCTTTGTTTGTCAATGCCCCTACTTCTAGTTAGGTTAGAGGGCTAGGCCTAGGTTACAGTAGGTAGCAATAATACACACCACTATAATAAATTAATAGTAATAATAATAATAACAAATAATAATAATCCCATAATAATAATAGTAATATACGAACAATAATAATAATAATAATAATAATAATAATAATAATAATAATAATAGTTAAATCCCTTACTATATAATATACGATTACTATTAACTTTAAGGCTAGGGACTCTAGGCCTCAAGTGGTGGTTGTACAAGAGTGCACCGAGTCCGTAGTAGTAGGCCTAGGCAGGCCTCATCATTTGACCTTTCCTCTAATTTTTACTTAGACTAGGCCTAGGCCTACTAAGGGCTAAAGAACAGAACTTACAATGTCATTCTTGGGCTCCATTTAATTTCAACACCTGCCAGCTTTCCTGAGAAAAATGTATTATCAAATTCTATAAACATAGCCCGTACATCAGGTGTAGGGTCTAGTGTTTCCCATCTTTCATCTACAATTGACAGGGGTTTATCGCCTCCGCTCCGCTGTGACTTATCATCTGAATGGCAGGATGAGGGCCTAGGAGGAACGATTGATCCATGCTGGTCTTGGTCGTCGAATTGTGCTTGAAGTAGACAAGCAAATTCATAATCAAGGTCTGAATTCATGGTTCTAAATTCTGTAATGTGTTAGTATTGGCATATCATTGAAAATATAACAACCTCATCAACACACAACAGAAAAAAAACGCGGTTCTTGGATCGGATTTTGTAAATAAAACGTTGGGTTGGGTACATTCCAAATATGGCATGACAGCGGTCCACATAAGGCTAGCAAAACTGTGTGTAGGCCTACCGTACTTAGTATTCTACATCTGCCGATGTAGACACATCTATGTATCGATGTGATATTATAGTGCATGACTAAACTTAATTCTTACAAATTTACATTGCAGTTAATCATTACATTAATGGTAATTAATGTGTTCTGTGTAATTTGCTGATCGTTTCGTACCGCGAACAAAAAGGTGGCCTTTTCCACGAATGGGTAGACTGAAGTGATGAGTGATGTTGACAATTCAAACATTGCGAATCAGCGGTGCGTAACCAAAGATACTAGAAATAAAGGATAGAGTTCTCCACACAAAAATAGTGTTCCACCGAAATGCATGGTGGGAATACAAACAATGGGGCGCCCCGTACGACTGGATCTAAAAAAACTTCAACCAAACTTTCGTTACCAAGTCGTCGCGT